GTTCCAAATATAATTTTAACATAGAGATCATTGCTACGATGGAGGCGTAATGAAGATTTAAGAAACGGAAGTGACGAAAGCTAAAGGAAAAGACGAGTTATCCAATCAGTTTAAGGAGACATATGAAAGTTTCACCAACCAAAATGAAAGTAAATGTATTTCAGTTAAGATTGTTCGTACGCATATTTAATTGTCAGTAATTATTTTACAGATCGAAAAGCTTATGCCAAATAATTGACGATAGATGCCCAGATGTAAAAGCTGTTGTGTTTAGTTTTACAAGTGGATTGTCCTATTCCTCAGTAACATGTAGAGAGGCAGCAGCCCGGTATTTTGTGTCCGATTCATCGAATCAACCAAATGTAAATGACGTGTCATTATCTCCACCACCAGTACCTGATCCAACAGAACCACGGGAGGCTAATCTACCTGATTCCACAGTGCCACCCCCAGTTATCCAAAGGCTGTCACCGGCTCTAATCCTGCCCAAGCAACCCTTACCCGATCCTACCGAAGTACCTAATTCCAGAAATATTGTTACGGTGCCCCCTCCACCGGAACCGGCTCTAATTCTGTCCAAGCAACCCTTACCCGATCCTACCGAAGTACCTAATTCCATAAATATTGTTACAGTGCCCCCTCCATCGGTATCGGCTATAATTCTGCCCAAGCAACCCTTGTCCGACCCTACCGAAGTACCTAATTCAACAAATATTGTTACGGTTAAACCCCCACCGGTACCGACCCTAATTGTGCCCAAGGAACCCTTGCCCGACCCTACCGAAGTACCTAATTCCACAAATATTGTTACGGTGCCACCCCCACCGGTACCGGCCCTAATTGTGCCCAAGCAACCCTTGCCCGATCCTACCGAAATATCGAATTCCACAAATATTGTTACGGTGCCACCCCCACCGGTACCGACCCTAATTGTGCCCAAGCAACCCTTGCCCGATCCTATCAAAGTACATAATTCAACAAATAATGTTACGGTGCCACCCCCTCCGGTACCGGCCCTAATTGTGCCCAAGCAACCATTGCCCGATCCTACCGAAGTACCTAATTCCAGAAATATTGTTACGGTGCCCCCTCCACCGGAACCGGCTCTAATTCTGCCCAAGGAACCCTTGTCCGACCCTACCGAGGTACCTTATTCCAGAAATATTGTTACAGTGCCCCCTCCACCGGAACCGGCTCTAATTCTGCCCAAGCAACCCTCGTCTGACCCTACCGAAGTACCTAATTCCAGAAATATTGTTACGGTGCCACCCCCACCGGTATCGGCTCTAATTCTGTCCAAGCAACCCTTGCCCGATCCTACCGAAGTACCTAATTCCACTAATATTGTTACGGTGCCACCCCCACCATTACCGGCCCTAATTGTGCACAAGCAACCCTTGTCAGATCCTACCGAAGTACCTAATTCCACAAATATTGTTACGGTGCCCCCTCCACCGGTATCGGCTCTAAATCTGCCCAAGGAACCCTTGTCCGACCCTACCGAAGTACCTAAGTCAACAAATATTGTTACGGTGCCACCCCCACCGGTACCGGCCCTAATTGTGCCCAAGCAACCCTTGCCCGATCCTACCGAAGTACCTAATTCAAAAAATATTGTTACGGTGCCACCCCCACCGGTACCGGCCCTAATTGTGCCCAAGCAACCCTTGCCCGATCCTACCGAAGTACCTAATTCCAGAAATATTGTTACGGTGCCCCCTCCACCGGAACCCATTTTGAGATCTAATGGTGTCGTTGGTTCCCACACTGCGTCGAGTGTTTTGCAGCAACTAAAGGCCATAAAGAGAAAGTCAAAACCAAAAACAAGAACTAGAGCAAGAAAGCTATGAAGAAAAGGACAGAAAGATTCAACTCAGCTAAAGCAGCTTAATTGGTATCAATGTGAATAAATTCGAGATATACACAAATCAATTATTTTTTAAAAATACATTTTAAAAATAAGTGTATCATAAAAGCAATGAAATATTAAATAGTTTTTCCAATACATGCATTATCTATGTATCACTGGTAATCTGGTGAACTCTCTAAAAAATATCTCTGATGTTATTTTGATACCATAGATTACGACGAGCACACTTTGTAATATACCGGGTAATAAAAATTCAAGTTTTAAAGATTTGGTCCCGAAAAATATAAAAACAGTACTGATTTTAATAAAAAATTAAGATTCGATACAAATAATGGTCGTAATATTCTAGACTTGCATAAGAACAACAATATATGGAAAGGGTGCGGGTACATCACTTGGCATTGCTCGTCTTCGATGAGGGGTCACGTGGCTAAGTGGGTAAGACGCTGGCTCGCTAACCTGGAGGTCGGGTGTTCGATCCCTGCATTGGCCGAGAAAGTTCATCCACATTTTCCGGCGTGGTTTCCCCTTGTCAGTGATGCCTGACAAGGACAGCTGTCTATTCGTTTGGATCGGACGAGAAACCGAGGTCCCGTGTACAAATTGGCGTGCACGTAAAAGATCCCTTGGCAGTTGGAATTCGATATAAGAGTAGGCCGTAGCGCCGCTGCCCGGAAAAAATTTCCCTCATAGCACACTGTATATGACGTATGCCCGTCTTCATTAGCCCTGTTTAGGAGCAAAACAGTAGGACGTTAAACCCCATTTCATTTCGTCTTCGATGATCGAACCAGAACTGGTACTCTCATTGTGGAATAGCCGTATACATTTTTCTTTGTAAATTAGAAAACTACTGTGGAAATTTCCATCAGATAAGTCTCCAGAGAGAGAGAGGGAGAGATGGGGTTTAACGTCATTTCGGGGCTAACACATAGTTCAATTTTATTTCAATAATTCGCTGGCGTGTAGGGGTCGTTAGCAGTGGGAGGAAATCGGAGGACCCGGAGAAAAACCACGAGGTTGAAAGGCGACCCTACTCCTTGTCACGTACAATCGGGGATTCGAAACCACGTCAGTTGACTCAATGACAGACCTTATGATACAGCACGCACGTGCTAACCATTCGGCCATCCAACCCCCCAGTCGTTACTTCACTTAAAAATGAAAGGATGCGGCTTCAGTACCCGGTTGCTTACCCTTAGAAGTTAGAAAGACATCAGGCTGAGTCTTGCTAACCGAATAACCAATTATACTCCATTACTTGGCGTGTGACTGTATTCAGCAACATTGTCAGTATGCAAAATATTTTGGTTAAAAATGGCTGGATGGTAAGACACGCAATTAATACCATACCAACAATGGTTTCACCACAGGAATCACTAAATAACCCATAAAAAGATCAAAGATTAAATTAGCAACACATTTTTTGTTGTTGACCCTATACGATGCCATGAACTACTGCAAAGTCATAATCTGTTTCAAAACTCTTTAGGTTATAAAACAAATTTCTACAATGGTCGAGTTCAAATACTTTGGGTTCCATTTCCTGTTAATATCAATGATTGGATAAGTGACGGGCGGTTGTTTCACCAGAGGAAGCAGGAAATGTGTGTATCTGCTTTAAGGCCCAGTCTGGAATACACATTTGATATGCAAGCCTACCATAAAAAAAACAAAGACTCAATATTCTAACATCTACGATCTTTCCAATTAATGTCAGGTAAAGACCAATCCAAACATTGACAAACATAAAGCTTTGTGGTCTCACATTCCCAATTGATATGTTCAAATGGTTTCCGATCTGGGCCAGTTAAGTGCTCCTGGTTTAACATTGGTCACTACCAGAGCCTCGTCTAGGGATTTGGTCGTGCGCGGCAATGTCGGGCGAAGCCCCACCCGCGAGCACCGATGGTGCGAGACACGCGAACACCGCAGGTGAGAGCCCGCGCGGGGGGTCTGGGGGAGAAAATTTGAAAATTGACTCCCTTATAGACTCGATTTCTGAGCACTTAAAAAGATAGTTTCGGAGATTTGATACACTATTAGTTTTGGCATCTTGTTAAACCATAGATTGATTAATACCCTGTAAAATCGAGATCAAAACACTGCTGTGGCTGATCCGCAGACAGAAATATACCCATAAAACAATCAGAAAGACGATTTTGTAAACCCACGCACCATTATGATATAGTATTGGCACATGGGGAAAAACCTTGTCAGCGATGTTGCCGCCCAGTCTTCAACTTTTGGGCTCAGTAGGCGGCACAGTATGGCCAGTGCGCGGCGGCGGCGCCGTCTAGTCACCATGTTAAACGAGGCTCTGGTCATTGCGCCTCCAGGTACTTTGGCTCCAGACACAGGCCTACCAATTGCATCATCAAGGGGCACAGTGGCAAACATTCGCCATCGACATAATCCAAGATGTTGTTATATAACCACATGCAAAGCAGGAAGATTTGGTCCCCAAAAGCAATTGGTGCTAACACATCTTGCCAGATCATGTATGTAGGCTAGTCAACATATTTAGAAAACTTAATTGGACGATAATTAGATTTGTCAATTGTTTGTTTTCAGTAAACGGCGGTTATTATTCTTCTTTTTCATAGAGGATTGAGTTCGCCACAAGGGATAATTTCATTAATGACACTCAAATAATCATCACAAATCAGTTCCAAAGGCGATAAAGAATTCAATTGTTTGGCCACCAGAACCTGGGGATTGTTTCACGAAATTTTAACTAAGATAAAATCCATATTTTAGTAATTTGATTGGATAATATTAGATTGATTTTAGTGCTTAGCCAATCAAAATTGAAGTATCTACTAAAATTTGGATTTTATCTTTTGTTAAAATTTTGTGAAACAGGCCTCTGGACATTTCTTCTTGGGCAGATAAATTCTGTAGAATATTGTAGAATATGTAGGCCCTACGTAGGCCTACTTTTTCCAAAAACGCGATGGGGAAAAAAAAATAAAAAAATAATAATCCGAACAAAAAGAATAAAAAAAGGGTGTTGTTTTAAGCAAAATACAGGTTCTTTTGGGTTAAGATTGTTTTGGGGTAATAATTATGTGGACTGCAGTTCCATGACCGAGGTCCAAGGGGAAGTAACTCTAAAATTCAATGGCTGCCGACCATGCGGTTTTGTTATTGTTTTGTGTTGTATTTCGATTAATTTTCTCAATACATGCACTGAATTAAGTGACACCACTTTTACAACAAAGAATGGGTGCGAGGGGTAAAAAATTCACACCTAAAGGAAAAACTAATACATCAAATATTGGAAAATGGAAAAAAGGACAGAGTTCAAGCAGCAATCCCGTTTCAAAAAAGTTTAGAGAAGCAGCTAAAAATAGACTTTTTCAAAAGAACACAGGTATTAATACTGTTGTGTAAAGGAAATGGAACATTTATGATTATTTCAATCCATTCACATAAAATTAGGGGCAACTGCTTAATATATATCAATTGTATTAAATTATATATTATAGGTAAACCGAGAACTCAGACCAAAGTCGATCATTCAAGACCACTTTAGAAGTTTAGTTTGACCAAGACCAGTCCGATCAGCCAAAAGACCAGGCAGACCTAGTACCTTTAGGAACTGTCTTGGATCGGACGATATCCGCTGACAGTTCCTATTCGTCCCTATATAGCTGCAATATGAAAATAACGCTCTTCCCAACCTCTGTTCTAAGGCTATTTTGGAATCCTTATCGTTTATTTTTCACCTTGATTCTTCTTTGTTCGCCAAAGGAAAACATACACAAAATACGTTTGAACTGATCAGCCATGTATGAGACTCGAATATGTGCAGACCGCATGTTTATTTAATTGCTAAATTCTACATGAAAATACTGTTGAATTATTATAAATTTGTGTCAATTATGGTGAGACAGTACCTAAAGGAACAAAGTCAGGCCAAGGTAGAGGACCTCTTGGACAAATATTTTGCTTTACTAATGCGCTTCATAACAATTTAGTATTTCAAAGGAATCAAGTGTATTAAAACAAATGCCATTATCAATTTTTTGAAACAACATTTTATTATTTAAAAAACATTGGTCCGAATAATCTTCTGTCTTTGTCAGTCAACTGGTTTGAGTGGTCTTTGTCCAAGTTGGGGTTTTTTATGTATTGCTAGGGATGAAACTAGTCTGGGATATCAAGCTACATACATGTACATGTAGGTGAAAGCAGAAATTAATCCCTTGTAATACTAGTGCTATAGGTGACAGTGCCAAATGTCAAAGTATTCTATTTCTCAATAGAACTGATGATGAAACACAACATCGTACACCTGTGAGACTCATATTTTATGACTTAACAACCTATTGCTTTTGGGAGACATGCTGACACCAACTTTTTAGAAATTGATGATAGTGAAATCCGAGTGAAGTATTGTTTTGATCTGTGAAATTTGTCAATGACAACAATATAATACAGTGATGATTTTATGATCCATAGGTCCAAGCAATCTGACCGTTGCAGCACTTGCTAAACATAATGAAGGGGAAACAGAAATCGATGGAATGTCAGTTGTATCTACTGAAGATGCCAAGAGTACAACAGCAAAAACATTTAGTACATGGGCAACAAATTGGACTGATTGCACCAATGCCACGTTTAGTAGAGTACACCGATATTGGGCTTCGAATTCAGCAATGCATAAAGAGGCAAGTACATACATATATACTTGCGGTTCATTGAGATATGTTTTATTAGGCAATTACTGCATGCTTGTCACTTTGGCATATTCACGATCCATAACATACATGTATTATAGCTTAGACTGGCTTCCAATTATTGTCTTGGATCGGACGATATCCGCTGACAGTTCCTATTCGTCCCTATATAGCTGCAATATGAAAATAACGCTCTTCCCAACCTCTGTTCTAAGGCTATTTTGGAATCCTTATCGTTTATTTTTCACCTTGAAAATTTAGTGATCATTTAAAAAACAACACACATTTTCACTGCTCGTACCGAGGTGAATTTATACTTTAAATCAAAACATTTCTGGTGATGACACACACTCAACAGAATAAAAATCAATCGCTTCCATTATCGACAGATACACTATATTATTTATCAATCTTGCACTACTGTTTGAGGGTAACAGCTAGCTGTATTGTGATATAACTCTCCTGACTTGCCTTAGCTTGTCCCTTTGCAAATTAAGAAGGGCTTTTTTCAGCTCCCCAGTCATATATAGAAAACAGTGACTGCTGAAATGTCAGAAAACGAACTACAAAATATATTAATCATTAGAGTTGGGCGATATTTTGGTTTTTCGATATATAACCATCATAGAAATAAAAACCATCAGAAATACCGTCTTCCAAACCGTGATGTATCATGTTTTGATTTTTCTGAATGATATTAAACAATGTCTTCCTTTTTATGTTAGTTACAATTAATAATAAATAAAAACTATTATTACTCTCGACTGTTCATTCCATTAAGTTTGCAAACACCATTAAAGAGCTTTGTTTTCATCACATGACTTCTCACTTACATTGTGCTTTTCCACTCAACTGATACTGTAAGAATTATACATCTTGACAAACTGTTTTTCCAAAGGATTCATTGATTTTCTGATTGACATAAATTTGAATAAAGCAGAAATATAAATAATGCCAACTATATAGAGAGGGTGTCAGTAGACTGATTATCATTCAGTGTCGTAAGTGTCAGGGGGGTTCATGACTAAATCAATGAATACTTTTTGACATAGTACCAATGTTTTATAGTTCGATTTAGTATTCTTGTATTGCAAAGTCTTGAATGAGAAAACATGAGTTTGCAAGGGTAAATAAATAGCATTCAATCGTACCCATAGCTATAAAAATATGCATGGCCAAGTTTTTGTGGCTATATAAATCTATGTTTGAACCAGCTCATTAAATTTTGTTTGTAAATTCGGTTCTGTATTTATGCTAAAAACTTTTAATAATATTGACTAGAAAGTGTCAAGTGAATATTCTGGGGGTATTTTTAACTTTTTATGCATGTTTATATACATTTAAAGAATGATAAACTGAAGTTTTTGACACTTTATAAAACGTCATGATATAGTGATCATATCACAATATTTTCTGAAAATATCGCCATATCTGTTTCCAGGGATATCGCCCAGCTCTATTAATCATTATACCAAATCATTTACACACATATAAAACATAGGTTAAAAACAAACAAAACTGGGAACAACTAATTAGACAAAACATGAACAAGACAGAAAAAACTAATGAACAAGAAACTATCTAATCACTTGATTATAACCAGGAATTGACTATAAGCATGCAGTGTAGTGTGCATTTCACCTGTTACATTTCTTGCTGTATGTACATATTTACTTATATATATTACATTCATGTATTTGTAGATTCTGGCTGTATTAGCTGCTGTAACTGAAGTTATAAAACAACAAGGTGGTAGTGAAACAGAAACAGAATATTTTGCTGCCTTGGTAAGTTCAAAAGAGTAAGATATACTCAATTTACTTCTTTGATGGTAAAATTTGAGGCTTGTCATAGTTGGAAATATTGATATGTGCCATACATTGTAATTGAAATGTAATTGACCATTACATGATTTTTGAATGTGATTAATTACATTTCCATTACTCATTACATTACAATATTCCTTTATTCATTACATGGCCATTGCTTCAAAAATATAATCATTCCATTTCCGATTTATCATTATGCCAGCCCTGCTGGATCATCCAGCCATATAACTTTATGCTCTTTTATTTCCATTTTGTTCGAAACTGTAGTCAAAATCATAAGGATCTACCATTGGTTAGTCTACAGTGTCGATTTAATTAATAATTTGTTTATTAGGTCAGAGAAATTATATAATTTCCATCAGTTTGACTTGCATGTAGATTTACAATCATGAATTCTACCATATTCCCATCATCAGTTAGTAGGATGGGGAAATGAGACAAAGGTTGTTTTAGGTGACCAATCGATTCATATTTTGGCCATTCAACCCAGTTGCTTTACATTTCAGATGACTGCATTAGAAACGGCAGATTCTAAAGACTCTCTAGCAGCTATATCTTATTTATTGAACCTTGCTATAAAAAAGTAAGTTTTGATAGATATGGAAAAAAATATTTTTTCTCTCATGTATAGAACTATATATTCATATTTCACTCAAAATTTGTTGGAATTATTCGTCAGAAAAAAAGTTCTTTGGGAAATCAAGGGATCTGATTTGATGACAATTGATAAGTCATTTCCACTCAACAACAAGGAACACTGAATAAACTAATTTGAAAAGGGTATTTGTTTCAAACACTGTTTACCAATGTTTAATTGAAAATATTTCCCTTTATAGAGTTCCAGCAGCTGTTTTAAAAAGTAGATTTTCACAAGTATCTAAACAATTATTAGACTATTTAGCTAAATACGCTGATGGGACATCTACATCTCTGACTAAATCTGTAAGTGTTTTTATACATCCACATTTTCATGTTGATGTATATTGTCGTCGCCCCTGTCCAGACGTCCGGAATTTGTTTGTGGACCCTCAACAGGTCACAATTTTTATCCAATTTTGTCGAAACTTAAAATATATGTTTATCTTCAAAAAGATCTTGGTTCCTTTCAATATTGGCATGTATCGGACTGATTGCAAGAAAAATCACATTTTAAACTTGTGGACACTCTAGAGGTCACAATTTTTATCTGATTTATCATGATGAAACTTAAAATGTATGTTTGTTCCTTTCGATATTCTCGCATATCGGACTGTAACTTCCTGGATTATGGCTCCTTATTGTCCTAAAATTCGTGTTTTTAGCTTTTAGTTCCTCTATAGGTCACAATTTTTATCTGATTTAAAAAAAACTGTTTGAAGATATCATTGTTTCACCATAATGTTTGTTAAGTTCGAATTTCGTGAAAACGGACTGAAACTGCTGGACAAAATGGCCGCTCCCTGTACTCAAATAATGTTAAAAGTATGTAATATCTAAGTTGTGGACATATTCAGACCATAACTTACTGGATTACTTATTTTTAGCTTGTTCTATCCATCTCTTACAAAATTTTAGCGTATATTGCATGTTATAGAATATTATTATTGTAATAGAATATAAATGACTGGATGACTTTGCTGAATTTGAGGTGGTGATAAGACTTTAACTGCTTGGTACGTCAAACAATAGTTATTAAAGGGTATTGTGCTAACTTTTGATAGCGATTACTTGAAAATGATTACTGATCTTTATGAATGAAGCCATGATTACCCATCATTATGAATCTAGCTATGATTACCCATCTTTGTGAATCTGGCTTGTTGACAAAGCTGGATTTATAGGTTTAAAACCCTGTTAAACGTGACTAAATATACTTTCTGTTTGGGCAGAGAAATGGGGTTTAACATCCACTCGGCACAAACTAGGTCATTTCGGGACTAACATATGGATAAATTTTATTTCAATAATTTGCTTGCGGGTAGGGGTCTTTAGCTGTGGGAAGAAACTGGAGGACCCGGATAAAACCTATGGGCTTGGACAGGGGACCCTACTCCTCATCATGTATAACCAGGGAATCGACAGACCTACTGATACAGCGTGCACACGCTAACCATTCAGCCATCCAACTCCCCATGTCTCTTAAGACAGAGGATGGTACTTATTGCCATTTACTCTTTGTGTTTCAGCTATTACTTTGTTTAGCAGCTGTTCTAAGAGTTCAGGATCAAGGAGTGTGGAACCATACATCAACACATCAAATATATAACAGTATATTAACATTTATTACACATAAAAAACCAAGGGTAATTATTATTATCTACTAAAATATATTATTATATATGTATAAGATACACAATAACCTTTTTAAATATTAAATATTATTTAAAAGATATACCTCATTGACTTTATTGAACACCACAGATACATTTACATGTAAATGACGAGTGCTATAAAGAGAAAATTCAACAACCTATTGTATGATACCTGCAACACCATTACATATAAATAAGTGTTTATGGTAGATGTTTATTTGATTTTATTATTATATTTATATTTTAAGATACGGAAGACAGCCCATCAGTGTATACAGATTATTTTAAAAGGTAGTTTGTTTATGACTAGTGATGATCCACCACCAGTTCACCCTGCTGCTAGTTTAACAGCTAAATATTGTAATCATGAAATAGAACAGTGTGCAGGTACTTTAAACTTCTTTATTTATAAAGATTAATTCTATTGTTGATAGCAGAAAGGCCAATTTGGAAAAATGTAGTATATATATCATTAAAGTCATGGTGAATTTAATAAATAACAAAAACAATTTGGAATTTGAAGTTTTTATCATTAACAGAAAATGTCCATATCAAATATCATCTTACATTGCCAGTATGTTCAAGTTATTATTTGTATATATTTATTTTAGTTCTAACCGTGGTATATTTCAGGATCAAGTGAAGCTATTAATACTCTATATACATTGGGTTTATTGAGAGAAGTTCTTGGTACCTTTTCTCAGAATAGTTTAAAATCTACATGTGAAAACATACTCAGAGTTATGACTATTAGTAATCCGGTAATTTCATTTACTTCAACTCTTTACTTTTAATGTTAGATAGCAATATTTAGTGATTTGTTTTCTTACATTTGTTTGCTGTTTAGGGTATTTTGTTCAATTCTAGGGTTTTGAAGGTAGACAACACCCTTCAGTAGTGGAATTGTTTCCAAAAATTAAATGCAGAATATTGTATTAATACACCCTCCACTCAACAGGAAACGTTACTTTACCCAATCCCTCAATATGTTAATTGACCATCCTAACAAGAGTGCTTTTATCAGATGTGAAAATATTGATCATATTTTTACAAATATATCAAAGTCAAAGTTTATTAATACATTAATATATTTGTCAAATTTTGATGACATCCCTAATAGATATATTATTTTATAGTTAGTGAAAGCCAGTGGTATGCAAGCCTTACATGGTATGTTTTCTTCAAAACCAAAAGCTAGTAATTTACCTGCAGAGTTAAATGCACAGATTATAACAGTAAGTATACATACAAGTAAACTATAATGTCTAATGAAATATTATCTTCCCTGACATCAAACAATGCATTTGAATGAAACAGAAGTAGTCAAGTGATATTGATAAAGTACTTGTTTTTATTATCAGTTTGAATTTCAATCACTCATTTTATTTATTTCTCTTTTCTTCCAAAAATACAGAGAGGTAACAATCATGAAAAATGATTAAATCATGCCCTCCATTATATCGTTTTGTTTTTTTCGCTATTGTTTAGGCGCTGTATGATTATCAGCCGTCAGAACATGATAGTCAACCAATGAGAGCATGGTTAGCTGTTATGGAAAAAGCTCATGTCAACCTAGCCAGGTAAAATTATATAACACAACACAAATCAGTTACAAATCTTTGTTTAATAACTAAAATAGATATATTGATTAACGTAATTTGGTATTATTGAGCAGTACATTTTGAGAGTATAAATAAAATGAGTGGAATGACATTAACTTGTATATTATGTTTTCAGAATTGATGAGAAGTTAGGTATAAGTCATTTACCAAAATTATTTTCAGTTGGTATGACATGTTTGTTATCCAATAAACCAGAAGTAGCTTCATCAGCATCCAAAACATTAATGGTAAGAAGATAGATATTCTTGATATTATAGTAATTCAACTTAAAAAACCCCATTTATTTTTGATATTATAGTAATTCAACTTAAAGGCCATTGACTTCTAACTATGTTCTATAACAAAGCAATTTTAGAAACAGCTTACCACATAGTCTTAGACTTCAAGTTCACTCGAATCTTTCAAAGGAAATTTGAAAACTCATTTGTTTAACTTCAAATATAAGTGATCATGCTAGTAGTCTGAGCTAGCACCTTGGACATGCATTTGTGTATTAAACTGTTGTGATATTAATATACATTATTATTATTACTACGCTTCGTGTTTATCATTTATATTGTTAAATTCATGATAATAAAGCATTGATTCAGGCCCAAAGTTACAAATGAAGGTGGCCCTTGTAATTACTTAAGACTTGTTTATAGACGTGATCTATTCATATGATTTATTATTTTTCAGACATTATTATCTGAATGTGTAGCACCAACAGTTGATTATCTTCAAGTTCTAGTCACATCAGCTCCAACAGGCTCAATGACTCCAATACATAAAATAGTTAAAGCTTGTGAAAGTGGATTAAGTTATCAATTTCATTCAACATGGAAACAAGTATTCCAACTTCTAGCTTTATTATTTGAGGTAACGACAAGTTCTTTGAAGATAATATTTGATTCTTTAAACAATATTTTATTAAGACTTCCTGCTCAACAGTAGAACTACAGACTTAGTAGCAGTGAAGATTTATTAAATGATAACGTTTCGGGTTGTGATACCCTTTTTCAATGATCACACCTTGAAGCATTTAATAAATCTTCAATGCTAATTCTGTTGTGCTACTGTTGAGCGGGGATTCTTAAATTCATTTTTTTACCCCTCTTCCCCGCCGGTATCTTTTGCTTGATTCAGTACCCACGCAGATGTAGCAGCGTGTCCAGCTTTAGTCACCTTGTCAGGGGAGTGTTGCCGTCCCCCTTCTCGTATCCAATATTTTATTATACGCCCACATTTTCATGTGGACGTATATTGTCATTGCCCCTGTCCGTCCGTCTTCATGGATTATGGCCCCTGTTTGTACGAAAAATCACGTTTTTAGCTTGTGGACCCTATAGAGGTCACAATTTTTAACCAATTTTCTTGAAACTTGTAATGTAAGTTTATAACCCAAAGATCTTGGTTCCTTTCGATATTCGCGCATATATCGGACCGTAACTTCATGAATTATGGCCCATGATTGTACGAAAAATCGCGTTTTTAGCTTGTGGACCCTATAGAGGTCATAATTTTTATCCGATTTAAAAAAACGTATTATTATATCACCGTTACACCCTAAGGACGGCTGATTTTAAATTTTGTGAAAATCGGCCCAAAACTGACAGGCAAAATGGCCGCCCTTCGTTCTCAAATAGCGTAAAATATGGTATATCAAGGTTGTGGACCCTATAGAGGTCACAATTTTTATTCGATTTTGTTGAAACTTGAAATAAAAGTTTATAACCTAAAGATCTCGGTTCCTTTCGATATTTGCGCATATCGAATTGTAATTTCCTGTATTATGACCCTTGATTGTAGGAAAAATCACTTTCTTTTTAGCTTGTTCTCTATCCATCTCTCGAAAATGTGGGCATATCCTGCCTGGCAGCCGTTGGTTTAAAGGTTGAAAGTGATTGATAAACAGGCATATATTATAACCGCATTCTATGATTTTCCCATCCTCCATAGATAATTGTTATTATATAGGACATAATTTTAAAAGATAAGATAATGAATGAACAAAACCAATGAAAACATGGTTATCTATATTGTTTTACATGTATTGCCCTATATGAACGTAGAATCCATTCTTTGGATTCAATCCTTTGCTGGTGCACAGCCAATGATCCTCAGTGGACTGGCCAAACATTGTCATACTAGTAGCTGTATGGGTATCTCAAATTTACCTTGAAAATAAAATTTGAAATTTATTCTACAATGTTGATATGTACAGTGTTGCCAAATTCTGTATTTCACATGATCTGATCATGTTTCCAATATCTGGTCATTTGATAGTTATCATTTGACTCTATGGATTTTATATTCATGATTTAATATTTTAGGTGATAGGTAAACAACTACCTGAACTTATAGAAAAGGTGAGTAAAGTAATGTATTTCTATAAAAACAATATTTTTATAATAGAATCTATTCTCTTATTCTGATTACATAGAATAGTTGTATAAATGGCTGTAGAGCATAGATTATGCCAATTCTATGATATTCACAGAACTTTTTGTCTTGCAGATGTTAGTCACATTAGTTGATTTAAGAGAATCATCCAATTTTTCCTATAAAGCTGATGTAGATCATATTATTGGATCTGCTGTAAAAAGTATGGGACCGAGATTAGTGTTGAAAAATATACCATTAAATATCACAGGAGAGGAGTAAGTATAACTTGTACAATATTTATATATCTAACTGTACAACAATATGAAATAAAGTGGTAAAGTGCCTAGTCTTTCTTAAAGAATGTTGGCTTTCTGATTCACCAAAATACCTAAAAGAAAATAATCAATTAATAAGCATCGAACTGTACTGTATGTTTATTAACAGAGCTTTAAAATAGACTTCTATATTTACATACCTGTTCATCTCATTTCAGTGTATTTATTTGATATGTTTGTAATGTTTTATAACCATTATTCAACTATTGATATAATATGTTTCAGTGATGATACTAATTTTCCTAGAAGTTGGTTACTACCAATTTTAAGTCACAATATACAGCATACAGAGCTAGCTTTCTTCTCATCATATTTCCTGCCATTATCAGCTAAATTCAGACAGATCTGTAAGTTTGATTAAATCTCTTTCAAATCGACAGACTTTTAAATAGTTCTGCGTCTGGTTGAAATTGAACCCGTTTTGGGTGTGTGTGAGACTTTGAAGAAATACATATGTTATCGTAACATAGTTCATTTTTTCGGTAATATTAATATTTAAATAGCATTAGTATAGTGCTTAAGTCTGTTGACTAATACTTCCATTTTGAAAGAGTACAATGTACCAGATAATGGCTCTGTTCCCCCCATCCATATTCACAAATTATCTAAATGAAACTTACTCAGCATTTCAAAAATTTATTTTATATTTTAGGTGTTGATTTGCGTGCAGAAAAACGATTTGCTTTAGCAACAGCTTATGAAGCTTTACAGAAACAAATCTGGGGATTATTACAAGGTTTCTGTACTCATCCTTCAGATCTAACTACAGTGAGTGAAAATAATATCTCATACAAAATCATAGTTTCAATTCTTTATACAGAAGTTATAAAATCACCAATATTGTATTACTTTCAAAGGTTAATTATATCATTTGTTACAAGGTTATCATTGGATATCTACATCCATAATTGTTATTATCTGTTATAGTTTATTCATCTACATTCATATGGTAAGATTATTATAAATCTCATTTTATCCTTTTTAGTCATTTAAATCAGTAGCCAAGATCATGGGAACAGCTATCTCTGAAAGACAAGATCTGAAAATGGAAGTAATGGCTGCTCTTAGAAAACTCATCAATCAAAATCTTGAAAATGGTTAATATTTTAATATATGAATTTTTTTAGTGACTTATTGATTCTTTACAAACATATGGTTTGGATTAAATTCACTTTAATATAAGGTAACAGAAAATGAGAGCTAAAAAGTATGAGAATTCCCTAAAGGTTAAAGTAATATAATGTTACATGCAGTCTCAAATGTTTCCGATGATCATAGTATATATATATTCAATTAATTGAAGTACGGTTTGAGCTGGAAACTGTAATTTAATTATATTCCAGACACCTTTTTGTTAAAAATCATCAATTTCCAATAATTGTTGTAATTGAAAAAGATGAACAAATCTGAGAGGTTTTTTTTTTTATTGTACTTGAATATTGAAGATATTTAACTATTGTTATGTAGGAGTTAACAATATTTTTAATTTACTCCAATCGCTTGTATATTACAGAAGCCAATAAAGCTGAATTAGCACGATTTGCTAAAAACTTTCTACCAATATTATTTAATTTATTTACTACTGATCCAAAGAAAGAGAAAGAAGGTTGTCGATTGGCTGCGTTAACCACTATTAAAGCGTATCTTCAAATTACAGATCTACAGGTTTGAATGAAATCTATTCTATATATTGATTTGATAAATGGTCTAGTTAATTATAAAATGATAATAAGGCATCTAAATAGTGAGTGGTCAATGTGTGTGGTTTATTTAAGCTTGTCATTATGTCAACCATGGTCGTCTGCCTAACCGAGTGGGTTTTCTCCAGATTCTCTTATTTCCTCTTATTGCTAGTGACTTGTGTGCGCAATAAAATAAGTGTAATAAAGATACATTATTAGTACCAAATGATCTAGTTTGTGTTCATTGAACATCAAATCTCATCAGCATGTGTGTGTCCAGCCACACAGTGTTGATAAAATTTAAGTATATTATTCAGGTTGAGTTTTAGTCTTCCTTGTAGCTGTAAATGTACAACATAGTACATAACTTAAACATACATTATGAAAGAGCTAAATCTTCCTATTGCAGGTCTGTCTTTAGGCCTGAAATGTTATCTAAATTATTAAGGATAATTAAACGTAAAAATGGATAATCGAGACTTTGTTTTTTATTGTATCAACTTTAGTAATGATGGTCGAGGCTAGCCTAAAATTCAAAAACTCTTATAGCGAGAACTGTCAATCCTTTATCTAATCTTTCATAATGCCCCTTTAACAAATATTGTAGCTATAATGTACAAATATAAAGTATGTTGATAACATCTATTATATTCCAGCTTGCTGAATCATTTTTTGATACATGTGTTGCTAAGATTAATGATGCTGACATTACCCCTGCTAGAAGGTAAATTGGAATATAAGCTCTTTTTCTTATATGTTCAAATCAAAAATCACCTTTATTAAACATGCACAAACAATAATGGCAAAAAAGTCGATGCTAGTTGTGATATTACATGATTATATACTTTGATTAACCATAAACTGAGAAATAGAAATCCGACCTTACTTTATGATTTTTATAAATTTAATTTGTTTTAAATTTATTGAATTTTGTAGAATAGCGTTGACTGATTTGACTGGAGCAATATTACCTCATATTAAAGAAGACAGGTTACAAATTATATTTGACATAGCTAAACCAAACTTAAAGGTAATTATTATATTTTAATTTATACTTTGAACATCAAATTCATCTTCGAAAAATGCTATTAGTGAACCGAATTATGCTATACAAATTAGTACTTTTACTTTATTCCATCTCTTTTATTTTAAAGTCAACAGATAACGCATTACAGAAGAAATCCTACAGAATCCTAGAAGAGATATGTTCTATGAAATCAGAAGCTAGTAAAACATTTGTACAAGATAATTTACCTAAAATACAGAAAATGTTGATAGGAGCTTTATCTAAATCTAGTTCTTCTTCTAAAACAGTAAGTCTTTGGTTAATTCTTTTATAGCTAGTGATTAAATTCCAGATTTTCGTGAAAATTTATTTGTTACGATAGCATACAAGAGTAGTGACAGTGAAAGTCACAGGTTCTCATAACCAGTTGAGCATAATGATTGAATTCTGCTATTAGTCAGACCATCTTGTATATGAGTTCAGTTATTGGTCAGCCCTTTTTAATATAAACATTATTTAAAAATTACAGAAATTATTATTACTTGTTCTGATATATGTCCCTTTTCTTTTCAGCCCAGATTAAGATGTTTGATTCATATATTTCAAAATCTAGAAAAAAAACAGATGCACTTTGTTATGACAGTTTTACCAGAGGTATGTCTTAATATACATGTAAATCATTGTACATGTACCAGAGATATTGTACTATTTTAATTTTATAACAAACCAATTTCTTCTTAAATCTTTGGACTAAGTACTGGGTACAAAGAAATATTATTTTTCTTTGTAAATCAATTTAAAAACCAGATAATATATTATGTACTAGAGCTAGTTTAATGAGTAATGTATTATTACATTTCAGGATATATTATGTATTAGAGCTAGATTAGCAGAATATAGTTTAATGTGTTGTTATATTTCAGGCTATATTATGTACTAAAGAAGTAGGTGGTAGAGCTAGATCAGCAGCCTATAGTTTATTAATTACTATAGGTGATGCCATGATTAGATGGAGGAAAGATAAATCAGAAGAAGGTATTATCTTTATTCATTTATTAGATTTGTGAGATGACTCTTCCTGTGTACCGGTAATTGAAGATGTAACCCAAAATGGAACTTCTAATCTTTGAAATTTATACACAGTAAAATGGACACTAAAAAGTCAATTTTCCTGGATGCTCTTTTGTGTAAAACAGAGATCCCCATTCTTTTCAGTCCGAGGGCCACAAAGCTTTACTCTGGAGGGCCGGAGGCCACAAGCTTAAAATTTTACAAAAAAAGCTACTAAAGTAACAGTCATATTTTATTAATAAGACATCCGATGATGTTTGCAATCACAAAGGGGTGTAATATCTGGGTACAGTTGCGAACGCAGCTTACTCTTGGCATACTTCGTTTTGGAGAACAACTTGAGTCTTTGCTATTGGGGGAAGGGGTAAGCAAACCGCACAGATGGCCCTCGAGGACTGGATATGGCCCGTGATTTGGGGACGTCTTGTGTAAAATGAACCAGTTGTTTTATACTGTGATCTATCTATACATGTGATAATAATTTTTAATGTTTTTCAGATGTGATATATGAATATATAAAGTTAATATTAGCTGGTTTAGCTGGTGGACAGGATATGGTCAGTAGTTCATTGTTTGCTTTAACTAGAGTATTCTATCAATATAAAGGTAAGAAATTATTTAATTGTCAATTTATGTGAAACCATATTAGGGTTCAACTGTTAAAATACACCAAGGTCTGATGTCTTGTTAACCAATGTGTGAACAAATTTTACAACTTTTATTATGAAAATGTTAAGAAAGAAATTGACCCAGATTCTTACTTGTGTTGACTTTAAAGAATGTTTTATTTTATATTACAGATAAGATACCATCAGAGTGTTTAGATGCTCTAGTAGATAATGTATGTTTATTATTACAATCTAAGTCAAGAGAAATAGTACAATCAGCACTAGGTTTTATTAAAGTTATGTTATCAGCTTATAAAGATACAACATTAGCTGGTCAACTTAAAACACTGGTTAGTATCTATAAATAAATCATACTCATATTATATAATTTTGAACATTTTAACAGAGGGACATGGACAATTGTAATACAGCATTTGATCCATATTACCAACGTGCCAGAAGTAACAAAGAACGTCATTTTTTCTGTTAACATTAATATTAACGGCTATTTTGATTTAACTTAGACTATCTGGTACTAGTATTGATGAGGTCCCTAGCACTTACTTTAATTGAAACCAGATTCAGTAGAAGAACCTTCTTGTTTAAATGAATTTCCCTGCACTTTACATTTAACCAAAATAGTTAAGTTGATTATTAATGTGCTACAATACCTTATCTAATATATATATATTTAATTTACAGGTAGCTGGTCTTGTTTCCATGAAAGATGACTGTAAACATCATTTCCATCTGAAAAATAAACAAATTTATACAAAACTTATCAAAAGATTTGGGTAAGTGAATGAGATCTAATTCTGAAAACATGTCTTTTTGGTTTTTCCTGAATAATTTTTTGTGGGGTTGGAGAGGAGTTCAATATCGACAACTTTGATTTTTTTTTTTTTATTGCAAAACACATGTTTAAAAATAACAATATTGGTGGTTATTTTGAACAGATATGAGATTATTCATAAACTAACACCAGAAAATGTACATAAAGTACTGGTCAATATCCGTAAAAGATTAGAAAGAGAGAAGAGAAATCAGTTAGCTAATGAAAACGGTGACTCAGATGCTGAAGATGATGACGATGATGATGACATGCCTACAAAATCAAAACCCGAAACGTAAGTTAGATTGATTTAAAAATATTAAACATGTGCAACATAAAGAATATTCCATATAATTACAATTGTGTTATATGTTTAATAGATTATATATTTCACATGTATGTTTTATTAAGTATTTATTGAAATACTTACATGTAATAAAACATGTTGAAATATTTACCTGTAATAAAACATGCATGAGAAATATCTAATCCGTTAAAACACATACAAAAACAGTAATTATGATTTTAAATTCATCTGCCGTCTGCAGTATTGAAGAGATATAAAACCAAAGTGTACTCTTTTGTATGTACATAAAGAACCCTTGACAGTAGAAATTCAATGAAGAGTATGTCCATCTTTATATATGAGTCTGGTTAGTACAGAAAAGTAGGCCATTAAACCCCAGTTCAGATTTATATCCAACTGAGACATAAACCCTGGACCTATTGAATTATGTTATTAGCTAGATTACTTATTATAGTAATACTTAATAGGTGAGTTAAATTATTCTATTCTTTTTGACTAATCAGTGTAAGAACTTTATTAATGTTTATAGAATTGATGAATTATTGAGAGATACAGATTCTGAGTTAGATGATGAACCTGAGGATAGAAAGAAGAAAGAAGTTTCTAAAAGAAAGAAAGGAAAGAAAGCATTTATTCAGGAGGAAGGAACAGAAATTGTGGATTTCCTGGATCCCTCTGCTAATAAAAAGATTTTTTGTATGTTATTATTTATACTAAAATTATTAATTTAATGTTAAATCAGCCTTTGTATTTAGAGACACGCAAAATCAACAACTTATAAGAAAGAAAATTTTTTACTTAGCTGATACAATTACTGAAAGGAACAGATGGGCTAGCGAAATAAAAAGAGAATTTGATGTGGATGAAATTCTGAAACTATAGTTCAAATATTTAAAATTATTTATACTGGATTTAAGGCATTTATCTCATTTACAATAAATGGTCAAACAAACAAGTATATGTGCAAGCATAAAATGTGTAAATATTGACAATTTATTTATACCGGTTTATAGCCTATGGGAACCTACATTAACTATAAATGAAATTCGATATTTATAGTTATATTTTACAATTCTATCATTGGTTTAAAAGAGCCTAAATAGTCATATTATTTTCATTATATGTGCGAAACAGTTTGTTAGAACTGTGTTACAACATTCCACTTTTACAATCCAGGTTCTCACTAGACAGACAACACTCCCGGACCACATTCAGTCCATTTGATTTTTTAATTTTGTTTATTTACTTTGTGTGTTGTTTCAGCATCTAAACCCAATAAACAACAAGATAATGGTAGTAGTAAGAGAAGAGAAGAATTATTTAAACGTGGTGGTGATGGACGTTTAGTTATAACAACAGAACAAGATGATACAGGTATTATACTTCAATTACTATCCTTGTTACATAGTCTTAACAGTTCTATTGTAATATAAAACAATGAAAGGAAATGGAGGTTTAAAATCTTGTGCAACACTTTATTTATGTCATATTGTAACTAGCATTTCTATTTTATGGTTACTCGTGCAAGCTGTGGTTTCAAATTTTACTGGATAGCTTCGTTTCTGCCTACTGTTTTTTGGAACCAAATTATCATTGTATCTGTTATGTGTATTAGCAGTCTGAACATGAGACTTTGGTGTTTCATTCCATCCGAACAAGACATAATTTCCTTCATAGCTCAGCAGGCACTATCCCTGACAAATGTAAAACAGGCATAAAAATACCTAAAATTCTTCTGGCCACAACCAAGGATATTTTTATTTTGAGTCTAGTGTCCTAAAACTCCCTAAAATACAAGAATTAGTTATAACATTTTGGTGACAGTATTAAAAACTTTAGAATAATGCATAATAGCTGTGTGTATTAAGTGTGAAATCTGTATAATCAATTTATAATATTATAGGAGAAAAAATTGAGTCGGACATGGAAGATGATTTAGAAGATATTATGGCATCTATGGATGGAAAACGAAAGGTATTAATCAAGTTATTTTCCATTTACTAAATTTTAAGTTTTGTTATTCATGTATATTCCATTTGATATATTTATTTTCATAACTTCATATGATCATACCCATATTTTATTAAAAATGTAATTATTTTCCTTTTTGTCTTCAGAAAATTAGAAAGCGTGTGTTTGATGAACTGGATTCTGATGATGATGATGGATCTATTGTAAATAAAAAATATAAAGGTTAAACTTTCTACACTAGTCCACACAATTTCTAGCATATCTATTGAACCACTTACTTCTTTAAAAGTGTTCTTTAGATAGTAATTTAGATTATGGATAAAAATGAAATATCGTTCAGGTGTTAGCTAAAAATATAATAGAAAAAAGATGGTAGCATGAAATCTAAAAAAATAATCATTGGGTGGTCATAACTGCTGTTAAGATTTATCAATTTGAATAATTTTTTGTACAAGTATGTTTAAGACTGTGTATTGTTTAAAAGTCTATAGTTTGTTTTAATTGTATGAGTTGTTTATATATTATATAGCTGGTGGTAAAGGTATCCATAGACAATTAGATAAAACTAAACAACACAAAGATACAAATCAATATGGAGCTGAATATAAATCTAAGGTAAATATTATTGTCCATAATTCATAGTAGATTTAATTTATTCTAAGACACAGAAACAAGAGCTTTGAGATAATGATCAGCCACTGCCCAGTCTCAGTTAAAACAGGGTTGCCAAGAAAATAAGTTTAATTGATTTTGAATAATTTTATATTTTGTAAATAACCTAAAACTCGCTTAATTACAAAAAGCCATGCACTGGTCTACTTAAAATGAAGTACATCTTGCGCAAGTGTTCTTAGAATTCATAGAAAATCACTAGACAACTTTATTACCTTTAAACTGAGAGAGTCTCAATGATGGCTCAGCAGATATATAATCCATGTAACTGTACAAACAAATCACATCAAATCAAAAATTATGTTTTTACGAAGCAGCTAAATACTTAGGTCTTTTAAAGTTGTTTAGCTAAAAGGTATGTTTAAAAAAAACTACGGTATATATTAAGCTAAACCATAATAAAGGATTGGGTATGATAAGATACATTTTATTGCATAAAAATGTCCATGGGGAGCAGCATATAATTACATAAATTACATTAATACAGTACAACAAATATATATGAAACATTCAATCAAGAGTATACATTAAACTTGTGCAATGTGTAATACGATTGAATAGCAAGGGGGATAACAGGCCTATGTGTGTTTCTTTAGTTTCAGAGTCAGAATGCATTCAATAGCTTATATTAACTGTATATTATATTATTACAGAAAGCTGGCGGTGATGTAAAGAAAAAGGGTAAACCAGATCCCTACGCTTACGTTCCATTCGACTTTAAACGTCTAAATAAAAGGTATTTTAATCATATAATGTTGAAAGTAATGTAAAACTTAGAATTTATTCTGAATGCTGCAATATCGACTCACAAAGAGTTTTTAAATATAGTGATTATTTTTGTCATAATCTGATATTGGTATTGGTAAGAGATTGGTATTGGTAAGTGTATACTGTATATATAATGTATGTAACAAAACAGAACTCTCTTATTTTGAAGGGGGTCGCAGTGGTAAGATGGTGGCTCGCTAGGCTGTAGGTCGGGTGTTCGATCCGTGCATTGGCCGAGAAAGTTCATCCAGATTTTCTGGCATGGCTCCCCCTTGTCAGCCCAGATCGCCAGTTCGGAACAGAACAGTAGGACCTTAAACCCCATTTCACTTCTTTTTTTCAGAAAACAAGCTAAATTAAAGGGTCAGTTTAAAGGATTTGTTAAAGGTGCAAAGAAAGGAGCGTTAAAGGGCAGTAAGAAAAGAAGACAGTAATTGTTTGTTGAAGTCATTGTATATTAATGTAAAACAACATATTTAAATGTCAATTTGTCTTCACAATTGAGGTTAAACTTCCATTTGTTAATGGACGGTGTTTTCCTTATAATAAAAATAATAGGGGTTATTGTAAGTAGTTGTCAGTAAAGGGAGGTAACTCGTACCTGGACACCCGAAGGCCATATTATCTCCCCTTAGACCACATACCTTGTGGCCTGGTTGGAGAGTAACAGGAAATATTTTCTGCCACAACAATGTAACTACATTACCTGAATATATTGATCAATCTGTCCATTCATTATTTCTTTCAGATGCATTAGGACTAGATTTTTGTGAGAATGTTAGATAAATTTGATGTAAAAATTGGTTTTGAACGGTTGTTTCATATACAAATAAGATTTGTTAATTTTTCCTTTCATTATTCTTTGGGATTTTTAAATTTGTATTTCTACATACCATAAGAATCATAAATTGATTAATTGTATAGGTATTTAGTGATATCAACTAAAATATCTCCTTGAACATATCAAGGAAACATTGCTTCAACTAACTGTCTCATAAGATTGTTTAGATAGTAGGAAATATATTCTAATGGCCTTAAAAAACAATATTATCTACTATAAATGGATATCACTAATGGCTGAACTGTTCTAATTTGAAACTCCAACCACATTTCACCATATGAATATAATGTACACCCAAAGGATGATAAACACTCTGTGGAATCAATTTGAATGTAAATAAATCAGGACACAGAATGTGTATATTATTCTGTACATGTATTTACAAATAACCAAGAAGGAAGAAAAGTGAATATTCCAGCAAACCCCTTATCAGAAATTGGTTGTTTTTCTTGCTTGGTGATGTTTAGATACTATAATATAACTAAAGCACAAGTTTATACTTTCTCCACATTAAGCATGTTAATATATTTGGAATCAGGAAAGTACCATATTAAATACACTATAATGTCTTGTGATTTTTTTCTTTTGAGATCAGATTATGGTGAAGTTAAACATAAATTAAAGAAGAATATTTGTTTTTGTACAGTGTAAAGTTGACTATGGTTAAATATATATTAAATCACCTTGAATTATTCATTTCAGTCTTCTAGGTTTTGTTATTTCATATGATTTTGTCTGACTGAAAGGAAGTACTCTTGACATTTTATCACAGCAAATTTATTGGATGCCGATCTGACGATCTTGTCAGATCGACTGGGGTTCTATGCCATTGTATAATTTATGGTGGTATGTCAGGCAAAACTCAGCCTACATGTGATATCTCAATGGCCTCATTTATACTGGGAGTCACTATAGGTATATATTACTTCAATCATCATCAGAACAATTGAAATTGCTAAAGGAAGGGCTCTATAAAAGATTTAGCAAACCATGAATTTCTAGTTTATCATCCACATGGGGAGGTTGTTGAATGTTGAAATCAACATACGGCTAAATCATTGGAAGTTCGCTGCTGTAATATAGAATCTGTTGTAACCACTAACATCGAAACCAAGAGATCATCGAACCCACAGTTTACAATCTAATTAATTCCCTCCTTAGTCATTATATATGTTTAAATTAACACCCACTAGAAGTTGGGCGATCTAAACAAATACATTTGATACCGATCTGCCAATTTATCGCTAATAAATACCCGTTTTGTTTTATTATTTCGTAAAGGTTTATAGCATACAGTAATTTTTCAAAATTTATCGGACGCTCGTGATCAATGCATTATTGATCCCAGCACATCATTTTTTGGATTTTCAATAATTAGCCTAGTCCTTATTAATGTGATACATAAAGTGTCTCATTTTTCCGGTTGCGCCCCCTCGGTACAAGAATTTCTGGATCCGCGCTTTTAGATCCAATATGTGCAATAAAGGGTAATCCATAAATGAATCAATATCTTTATAAACACGTTTTATAAATAGTTGTGAAGAAAAGTAGTCAATTAAAAAGAATTAATGATATTTCCATGTTAAATATTATTATTGCACAAAAAATCACAAGTTTTACTATGCGTCATACAAAATTACAAATGGTACTTCAGTTAAATGGACGTGAGAAGAAGGTCATATAATATGTAGTCTATGTTCAAGGGGCGATTTCATTTTAAACGATTATCTTTTCCATCTAAATTTTAAAACACCAGGCACAATCGCTCTAAGGACTTGCTGCATGAGAAAAATTCCATGAAAAGAGGTATACTGCCACCACTGTCGACGTAATCATGTTGAATTCGTTGTAGATCAAATTAGTTACGTCGATCAAAATCCAAATAGATTACACAATTGCCGCTGTCACGTATCTTTAATTTCTAACTTGGCAGATTAAATGGCGTGTAGCTCTATTTTTCAGAACATTAAATTATACGAAAATGGGTGCAAAAGCACATACTAATTTAATATGATTGTACAAAAACAGATTGTAATTTCGAATCAGTCATATTCGGTATACGCGAGCAGTCCAAATTTAACGGCAGTGTTTGCGCCTGAAAGTCCATTCTGCACGAGATTTTCTTATTATTTTGTCGTTTGTGAATCAGCTTTTTTTGATTACTTCAGCATTGTCTTCTGGAATATGGATTCTTTGTTCATTACAAATGGCATTCGAAACCATTATGTCCACGCCGTCATGTACAGATTTCAAAATATTCACTGGGTCTTAAATATTGGATATTAAAATTCCATATTTTCACGGCAAGAAAACAACATCAATATTGATTGAAATGAATATTTCGTTCTAATTCGTGTTTTTAATTTCAAATATTATATATATATATATATATATATATATATATATTGACTTCTTTAAGTTACGCGCTAAATTTGTGGAACTAATATTCCTGTGAGTCAAATAAATGGTTTTGCTTGTGTTGTTTGTTCTCTTAGAGATGTCTTTATGTAAGAGCTAAATCTGCCTACTGCAGATCTTTGTTTTGGCCTCAAATGTTATAAAAATTATTAATTAGACATTTATTATTCACATAACAAGCCCATAATCAACTCTCTAGACTATCATTGGATTGAAACATGATCGCCATTAAATAATTTAATTAAAAATGGATAATCAATAATTATTTCGTAACTTATCAAATATCTTATCAAAACATCCAATATTCAAACCTTCGCTCAGAAGCAAGTAATTTGACTGAAATTTTCAATATCTTCCTTTTTCATTATCTATTTTCAAACTACTAACGTGAATATTGCCAACTCTTTATCTAAATCTTACGTAGTGTATCTTTAAGGTATGGTTCTGGGCGGTATCCGTTGTTAGAATATGGGAAATATGTGAAATATCTCCTTTAACAAGTCAGGAAACGACAAAAGTTACTTAGTTCAAAGTGAATAATAATATTAATTATCTTTGACTAGTCTACAGTGTTACATAAAGTATTGGTTTCATAAACAATTTCATCCTTTCGCACCCTACAAAACTACTAATTCTTCTTAACGAAAAGATGCTAATTCTGTGTAACGAATAGATCCTAATTCTCTGCAACGAAAAGATACTACAAAACGAAAAGATACTATTATTCTATACAACGAAAAGATACTAATTCTATATATACAATGAAAATAAAAGTCTACATAGCGAAAGAATACTAATTCTGTATAGTTAAATTATGATAATTATAATAACGAAAAGATAATAATTCTATATAGTGAAAGATAAGTATTTTTAACGAAAGGACAAATTCTTTATAGTGAAAACGAAAAGATACTAATTCTACTTAACGAAAAGATACTAATTCTATATAACGAAAAGATGCTAATTCTATATAACCAAAAGATACTATAAAATGAAAAGATCTTAATTCTACATGACGGAAAGATACTAATTCTATGTAACGAAAAGATACTACCATATTTCTACACAACGAAAAGATACTAATTCTATATAACGAAAAGATACTAATTCTATTTTATAACGAGAGAGAGAGAAATGGGGTTTAACGTCCACTCGACACAAACTAGGTCATTTCGGGACTAACATATGGTTTAATTTTTATTTCAATAATTCGCTTGCGCATAGGGGTCTTTAGCAGTGGGAGGAAACCGGAGGACCCGGAGAAACCCCACGAGGCTGGACAGGCGACCCTACTCCTTGTCACGTATAACCGGGGATTCGAAATCACGCCAGTCGACTCAATGACAGACTTTATGATACAACGCGCGCACGCTAACCATACAGCCATCCAACCTCCCATTTTCTAACGAATAGATACTAATTCTATACATACAATGAAAATAAAAGTCTACTTAACGAAGTGATTCTAATTCTATGTAATGAAATTATAATATGTCTGAATAATGAAAACATAATAATTCTATATAGTGAAAAACAATAAGCCTTTTTAACGAAAGGACAAATTCTTTATAGTGAAAAAATAATAAGTCTACATAACGAAAAGCTAATAGTAGAAAAACAATAAGTCTATATAAGTGTATATCGGGAAGGTAGAAGGTAGTAAGTTCTGCCGTTCGAACTGAAACAACTCGACCTTCTTGAAGGGGGGTTGGATGGCTGAATGGTTAGCGTGCGCGCGCTGTATCATAAAGTCTGTCATTGAGTCGACTGGCGTGGTTTCGAATCCCCGGTTGTACGTGGCAAGGAGTAGGGTCGCCTGTCCAACCTCGTGGGTTTTCTCCGGGTCCTCCGGTTTCCTCCCACTGCTAAAGACCCCTACGCGCAAGCGAATTATGTAAATAAAATTAAACCATATGTTAGTCCCGAAATGACCTAGTTTGTGTCGGGTGGACGTTAAACCCCATTTCTCTCTCTCTCTCTCTCTCGACCTTTTTGATCAGTCGTGGTTGACCACTATATTTGTCTTATGTTATTTTACTAATAGAATAAACAAACTGACTGCAGTGATAAAGCCATCAGAATTGGTGTACTTTATATTGCATGGTTATATTAAAAATACATTTTCTATCGTATGCAGGTGCGGTTCACAATTTTGTCAGAGGTATTGTGCCTGCTGGGATGGCCGTTAACATGTTATCTATAGTCTGTGCAATAAGGGTAACCGAAAACTCTGGAAATATGTCTGATAAAAATGACAAATGTAAATCAAGGAATGAGATGATCACGCACCTAACCCCTGAATGCACTATTTGATTTTACCTGGCGGTTTGATAATGTGAGATATTCCAGCTTAATTATCGATTTTCAGGTAATATATTTTTAGAACAATTACTGCAATAGCACCAGGGATTCTTTACTGAAATTTGCGGGAATATACTTTCGTCTATTAATAAGTATTTGTTTCAATATGACTAACGGGTACAATACAAAATATATAAAACCCTTCAACATGTTTCTTACACAAATTAAAATATCGCCCAAAGATGGACAGCAGTTTGAAATTCTTAATTGCTGGTAAGTTATTACTGTATGTTCGTGTTAAATTATTTAAATTTAAATTTTTAAAAAAATATTTACGTCGTCTATAGAATTTTTTATTCAATAGTTTGGCAGACAAAGTGATTATATTTATAATGTAGATGTGCTGTCATAAAAAAAAAAAGTATATTCTTAAATTATTCTTCCTATAGTTCAGACGTTCTTCAGCTAATATCGCCTTAAACTAGATCACCCATCTCATTCATAATTTTCACAAACGAGTCTGGTACCTAAACTCATGGTGACAGATTCTATACGGTTTTGTATCGCAGAGGGATAGCGATAATTCGCAAATTCTCTCGAACTGGTCTATAATAATAATAAAGCTGGGCCTTGTCATCGGCTCACATCCTGGTAAAATGTACAAATATATCATGTTTTGCCCTTTAAATGAATTGATCTTGCAACCTACATTCACATATAAATATATTCACAGGAATATATTGATAAACCTGAAGCCACGGTGGCCAAGTGGGTAAGAGAAAGTTCATCGGGATTTTCCGGCGTGGTTTTCCCCTTGTCAGTGGTGAATGAGGGCCTGACAAGGACAGCTGTCTAGGCGTTCGGATGGGAGGAAAAACCGAGGCCCGTGTACACATTGGCTTGCACGTAAAAGATCCTTTGTAGTTGGAAATCGATACGGTATAATAGTAGGCCGTAGCGCCGCGCTACCCGGGCAA